CTTCTCTCGACAAATTCTCTCTTCCTTCTGGGTTTATCCATAAATTCTTCTCTCTGTTGTCCCCTTTTATTTCTACACTTGTCTCTCGCGCTGCACACAAAGCGTTTCCTTACACCCAAGGACCTTCTCCTTTTACATGAAGCTCAAATCCGCCCGATGCTTGAATACTGAAGTCACGTATGGGGTGGAGCTTCGTATTCCGCTCTTTCTCTCCTCGGCCGTGTTCAACGTAAGGCCATCCGGCTGACCGACGAACCACCTTTAACTTCCAACCTGCGGTCGCTTTCCCATCGCCGGGCAGTTGCTTCGTTATCTCTTTTCTATCGTTACTGTTTTTGTTTCTGCTCTTCCGAACTCGCTTAGGCAGTTCCCTTTCCATTGACCTTCTCTCGTCCATACGTTCTCAGGCGGGCAGTCACCCTTATCAGGTTTCTGTCCCCAGATGTCGAACCGCCTTTTAATCTTCTTTTGTCCCGAGGATTGCGAAATTGTAGAACACTCTTACCTTTTCCGTGTTTCCCAGCTCTTATACCTTACCCCTTTCAAAAGCAGGATTAAAAAAATTGATACTTACTTGAATAACTCCCCGTATTGTTGATTATGGGGTTTGCCCCTTTTGCTGTAAATCACTCCGTGTGTAATAAAAAACGTCCGGTTAACTGGGACCGCATCTGAACCACCAAGCACTGTGGTGCAGTCGAGAGAGGTCCGCGTAGAATTCATCCTTCTGGTGAAATGGAATCGATTAATGTATCAACCGATACGACGAATAAGCACTGACGACTCGTTCTATAGCTGTTGATCCGTACCATCCAGACGCACAGCGCTAAGTCGGCTACTAACCGGGATCCAGTCGAGAAGTGAAAGCTCGGCCTTGACACTCAGCACAATCCCAACACCAGCAACACCTCGAGCTTCGCGTGTAGAATCACCGGGCACACAGAGAGTGAAGCGCGAGTATGAGGTTGGATTTGGAGAACGCATGATGATGGAAGTGAGGTCTTGTATGTGTGTTTCGGAGACACAGCAAACATCTAAATGGAAGGTTTTAAGGGTTCTAGATAAGGCAGCTTGTTGACCGATCTGATAGTGTGCGGACATCAAATGCGCCCAGGTGAAAAGGAGGTCTCGGTTTTAAGAATCTGATAGCCACTGAGAGGTAAACCTTACTGGATGAACGCTGGGTGATCTCTCAGGAGTGGCACAAACAGAATACATCTCATAAGGTTTGAAAGTGCGAATAAAAAATGAACAGATGAGAAAGATGGTTTTCCAAGTAGGCCTCGAAGAATTTGGGGCTCGAAATACTACGCGGTAACCCACACTGACGAGGGGCGTTTTCTTTGGAAACCCTAAACGGAGCATATGACTCAAAAGTCTGACCTGCAAGGCAGCGGCATTTTATGGATTCTTCTTTGGGAACCCTAAACGGAGCCTTACCTCCGAAGGCCTCAGTATGGTCGGGCGTGGGTGCCTAGGGTTGCTGCTGGTCACCCGTCCCTTGCACCTCGCGAAATGCTTCCATACGACCAAGCGCCTCAAATAGCCTCTGCTGAGGAAGCCCTGCTCACTGCCTTCCCATAGCGAAGGTGTTTTCCCACCAAAGTGAGAGGACGAATGGGTTGGTGAACCATTGGTAGTTCACCAAGGGGAGTTCGCCAAAAACCCTGATTCCCAACCAACCAAGAGGAGGCGTACGAACCACATCCCCACCTTTTCGGTTGTGGCAATGGTCACCGGCCCGATTTGGCATCAGGGTGTATTGGACACCCCGTCCAAAGGGCATATGATCCGATGTACTGGACATCGGCCTTCAATGGATTGCGGTTTTCGTACACTGACCCGCTTCCTTGCCGGTCAGGCTTTGTCAAGACGAAGGCTCCGGTTTAGGATTCCTCAAGAAAATTCACCTGCTTTGTCCTGGGCAGTAATCAGCCTACAGCTAAATCATGGAATGTTTTTCTTTTTGATAAAGATTATTTTACCATGAGTTGCTTGGCACACAGTCTGGCGTCAGACGTGTGTGAAATATATATAACCGGAGCCTTCAACTCAAAAGTCTGACCCACGACCCAGTGGTGTGTAAGTCCAACGCGGGAGCGTGAACGAAACCTGTGTGAGAGCTTCTGGAAACTTATCACGCAAGTCATCTGTGAAGAGCCATCCTGTACAGCTCACATAGTCATGGAGGCACGCAAGCCATCACACCACGTCAAGGTACGGTCTTGTCGTGGTGGAGAAAACGTTAACACCCAATTTTGGGAATAGTGACATTTCGCTCGTTTACTACACGCAATTTCGAACTTTTTGTTTGATTTTGGGATCCCATACAGGAAATGGTGCACTCACGCCACTGACTTCAGTTCAATGACATATCTCCCAGTGTCTCCAGCCAAAGACAATCTGAATCTTTGGGGCCCCAGCCGGGAAACCGGAAGCTCCGACGGAAGCCAAATCTGAGTATAATTTCTTCAAACCTTTATGCCAAGTAATAACCTGCTCGCCTCACTGTTTCTTCCAGCCCGGACCAATGTCTGCAAACAGTGCACGGTTTGGCAGACGATGCTCAATTATTTCTAGGACGAACCCTAGCTAAGCGTTTGTTCAGCGAAAGATTGTCCTTCCTACCGTGGCGAAGAACATGGAACGGCACAAACCATACCCTTGTACGCGTGCGCTTGAAGGTCCACCTGACTGCTCTCCGAAGGAGTCATCTCCAAGGCAAATTCAACGTCACTCTCTTGGAACTACTCGAGAAAAGGTGGGGGCCGCTGGAGACAACCACCTCCAACATAACCGCAACTTCCCTCGATGATTCAACTGTCGATACACAGAGTCCATCAGCGAAGCGGCGCTGTTAGATAAGACTTCGACAAAAAAGCGGCTAGATCTCAGAGCAGAAGCTGCAGTTGTCCGCAAAGGCAGGAGAGGCAAGGTTGACCGATTCTCCCGAATTCCCTGGTCTACTTCACCAAGCCACAGGCTCCGCCAAACAATACTGAAATGCGATTGCAGACAGTATGGAGGCTGCAACCATAACAGTGGATTTTGAACAGTCGTTCTGTCTAATTTGTGTTGTACCATAAAGAAGACAGACATCGGAGCCACTGTTGCGCGACACCACGGGCCAACTTACTCAGGGACAGGAACAGAAAAGCAAAAAGGGTCGAACACTTCGATGGGCTGCCTAACCGCCCATAAAACTAACCTGGCTATTCACAGGTGTCAAGCAGTTCAGAGACCTACGACATCAATTGTAACCCACTTAGTAGGACAGAAATCGCCAATTCACTCACTTCCCTGAAAAGTTGGAGAGCCCATGAAGAATACGGGATACTTCTAAAGCTATTTCAAGCTTCTCTCAAATGGATCCGATGAGCTCTCTTACACTCTATTTGGGAAAAAGAAGCATTTCCAAAATATACGGTAGCTTCAATTTTAGTCCCTGTTCAAAAAAGGGTGACAAATAAAGATGCAAAAATTACAGGGGTAACAGCCTCATTGATTATGCATCCTAATTGTTTGCAGTGCTACTGGCTAACCGCTTCACAATCATCTGAGATACCCGCACCCACCGTACATTGGATAATGCGACAAGCACTTGCTGACTGCAACGTAGTGCAGCTTTCCCCAGGTATATGGACTGCAGACCTCGAGTTTGCGATGGACACGATGGACAACCTCGTTTGTTGTCAGTCGCATTAATCAGCCTGTCTAGGGCATTGGGCTAGGGATCAACACGTCGAAAACCAAGGCATTTTCAATCGAAACTTCTGACACCACATAACAACCCTCCATTAATGGGGAGCTTGTTGAATGAACTCAAATTTTCAAGTATCTCGGCTCTACAGTCAGACCAAACGGCCAGGCTCGTGATGAAATCCAACTTCGTGCAGATTAGGCTGAAAGAGCCTTCCTGCAACTCCTAATACCGTTATGGAACCGATGCGAAAGAAGCTTAAACAATAACCTTCGGGTTTATCAGGCTTTCATCCGCCCCATCCTTATTTTTGTTAGTGAAACATGAACGTTAAAAGTACAAGCTCTAGGTATTAGATCATTGATGCTTACGCTGCATCTCGAAAGTAAATTCGAGAGATCGCGTTTCCAATGATGAGGTTCGACGGCGCTGCTCAAAAATCGATAAGCTTCCAAAATGCTACAACGCCTGTGCCTTCAGTGGTTTAGTCATGTGCTTCGAAGGCTCGGCACAACTCTCGCGGCAGGGTTCAGCCCCCGCATAGCACCGTGAATGGCACTGCCGACTGGGTGGTCAACTAAAGACCTCGAGCAGTAAGATCCAGATAGATATGGAATTACTGGGCCTCCAATTCGTGGATGGAACCAGGACAGTGCTTCATACTGCGCAAACCTTGCCGCCGATCGTCATACATGGGCCGCCATCATTAGAGGCATTCAAGAAGATAATCTATCCTCCCGCAGGAGCCAGTTGCTCAAAAGTAAAAGCTGAGTAGGGTGCTACGTGTTAACTCATACTTCTCGAAACTTCGCTCTATTTGAAACATACAGCAACATATATATTCCAGTGCAAAGTGATGTGCCGGATAAACTTGCATATGTAGCTCAAAAAAAGTTGACAGCAAACCCACTGAGACAACAGATACCCACCAATACATAGACAAAAGTTAATAGAAATGCCATATTGATGGGAATATTCAACGAAATCAAGATGATAATGTAATGCGAGAAATATCGGAAAATAAATCGAGTAGTGAAAAGAGTTAGTTTACAAACAACTAAATTCGTGAGTGGTAGTTAATCCAAGTGCTCCGCTTCGATCGGTTCCACATTTGAAGAGTTTTGCAGTAAACCGGCCTTCTCACACAGATACCGTGCACCAGCCCAACAGTAACGAACCAAGTAATAAACGGTCACTGCAAATGTGAACACGACCCACATCACCAGAACCCAAGCGAACCAAGTCAGTTCGACGTATTGTGCCATGGAAGCGTCCAAAGAGTTGATTAGTAAGTGATGACGATCGTATAAAACTTCGTATGTATGTATCGCGAAGCTCACCGCCGCGGAAAAGAATGTCTGACGGGAACGGCCGAATGACAACGACAGAGAATAACTAAACACCGATTTACTGAAAGTTAATAACTCCACACTCTGTTCCAGGGAACTAATGACGTATGTCCCAAAATCGACGGCTAAAATGAAAAGGGTGAATGAATAAATGAAGTGTAAGTATATGAGCTTACGCGAACTATGCGAATACTAATTCAGTGATAAATGACCGACGACTTGTGTGGGGAATGTTAGGAATGTTAGTCCTCATTAGCTGACTATTGTTGAAAGTTGACAGATTTTATCAATCTTATATATTAGTACCTACTTTGTGTGAGCTTGGTACTGATTGCTTCCATGGTGTCACTCGAAACCTCGCTTAAGATAAGGCTTCATACTGAAAGCTGGAATTTTTGTTGGATAATAGGACTGTCGCAAAACTTCGGTACGAAACTTGAATTTACTACGTAGAAAATAAACTTGGGGTTATAAAAGCTTTAAACACGGGAAAAATTTAGCAACTCTGTGTGACCTGACAAGGAGTTGTAGGAGCTCCTTCCACAACTGTTCACCCAGACAGTGCAGAATAAGCCGCATTCAACTGTTTTGCGTCATCTCTTCAGCTGTGCCTCAGAAAGCTACGGGACGGTTGGGGTGGGGGTCTAGGGTTGTGACAGGTCATCATCCCCTTACACTTCGAGAAATGATCCGATATAACCAAGCTTCCCAAACCGCCTCTGCTGAGGAAGCCCTACTCACTGCCTTCCCGCAGCGGAGGTGTTTTTCCACTCAACTGAGGGAACGAAAAGCCAATATATCGGGCTACAACCGAGTTGGTGAAACAATGGCAGTTCACTTAAGGGAGTTAGCTAAAAACGCTGATTCCAAACCAACCAAGAGGAGGTCTACAAACCACACGCACACCTTCCTGGTTATCGAGGTCAATACCGGCACGATTGGGTATCGACGTACATTGGGTTCCTTTGAAGTTTTACTGCACCCAAAGGAGGTGTAATCTGATGAACTGGACACTGGCCCCAAATAGACTGCGGACTCTGAGCTCCGTCCTGTTTTCTTGCAGTTTTGGCTTTCTAGCTAAAGGCTTTGGGTGGGGACCTCGAGCTTATCCCCCTTCCCCGGTAAGGGAAGCTCGGGAGAGCACAGCTGTATGCTACCGAGCGCGTCCCTAGGTCGCGGATAGGGGAACGGCCGTCATATCGCGGCTAACGGT